CCAGCACAAACTTTTATGGCTGCAGGCATGGTGACCCAGCACTGACTGCTGAGGAAGCTGTGAATCAGGCCCAGAGAAAGGCCTGAAGAGAAAAGCAGGGTCTGATCTGTTGATCAGCACTTGCTTCTCTCTTTAGCTCTGGGCATGATCAGCAGCCGTGCCTCCATTTTTCTTCAGGCCTCCACCAGGACTGCTGATCAGCCCTGCCTTTATGTTCAGGCCCCATTGATAGGCCCAGAGACACTGATTGGCATAGAAACTGACCAATCAGAACCAAATTTGGATCAACTGTGAGGAGCCAATGGCTGCCTAGGAGTCAAAGCTTTTGACACTGACTGGCATAGAAACCTACCAATCATAACTAAATTGGCCAACAGAAGAAGGCAGTTGGGGAAGAGATTAGACCTGCAGGGGAGGGCAGTTGGGAGGAGATCAAGCTGGCAGAGGTTAGTTAGGGCTGATCAGGCAAGCAGAGGCAGTTAGGGGTGATCAGGCCAGCAACATCAACTTGAATTGAGAATTAATTAGGCTGAATGAGTCATCCACTTTCTATTCTGATAGCATTTAACTTAATTCTCATTTTTGTTACTATAATGATTGCACTTCTCTCTTCTGTACTAGTGAACTCTCCTTTTTCTTTCCCTTGAATATCAAGCACATAGCACAAAGCTAAGCCAATGAACTTTGTATTTAGAAATTGGTTAAATAATTGAATAAATTGGACTAGACTGGAAAATTCCATGGGAATAAGGGCCATTTCTGTATTTAATGCTTGCTTTATGCCCAGTCCTTATCACAGTGCCTACCTTTCAAAAGGATTTTATAAATATTAGTTCCTTAAACATTTAAATATCTTTAGTTTTGTTCATTAAAGTGACTGGTAATAGCTCTTATGAGGATTTTTAAATAAGTATGATGTATTTTATGCCAATTTTATCTTTGGTGCAAAAGTTTCAATAGATATTCCTAACTTTTCTAACCTTATATCTCCATTAAACTTTTTATATCCTTACTCTCACTCCTTCCTCCATCCTACAACTCACTCATATTTCACTTCTTATATTTTGAATAGTCACTTCTTGTTATCATACTGCATGAGCTTTTAACTCCATGTCTTTTGTCTTTGCTTCTTTCATTCATGTTTTTGGTCACGAAGCACAAATGCACTGAGCATTTTCCATGTGCCAAGTATTTGCCAGCTGTTGACCATGAAGTACAGTACTCATTCACCATCACGTCTTGCCCCCACAGGCATAAATTTTCTAGAGGAAGAGACCGACACAAAAATAGTATATTGTAATATAATTAGTTAAGTATAAAATACAGCATAGGAAATATAGTTAATAATATTATAATAACTATGTATGGTGCCAGGTGGGTGCTGAAAATATTGAGGGGAGCACTTTGTATTTGATTGTCTTACCACTAAGCTGTGCACCTGGAACTAATACAAATAATATTAAATGTAAACTGCAATTGAAAAAAATCTACAACAACAAAAATAATAATATAAAGTTAGTTAAGTTCTGACACAGAAAGCAAAATGCTATTAGAGTTCAGGGAAGTTACAGCTTTTTCCTGTGCCTTGTGTGCTGCTCTAACACGTTTCTTCTCCTAGTTAATAACTGTTAATATTCTACTTATCCTTTAAGATAGAGATCAAATCATTCTTTTCTGTGAAGTTTTTATGAATGTTTTCTGTTTGATCTTCCCCCTCTCCTTGACCCTGATATGGCTTTCAGAGTACTTGTTGCAATTCACCATGAGACTGTACATGCCTATAGATTAGGAATCGTGTCCTTTCCATTTTCTGTACCCTCACAGTTCTTGAATAGTGTATGGGAAGGACATAGTTGTCCTTGGTTAGTCAAGATATCCTCCCAGTAACACCCCACATCTCACCACATGATGTATTTCCTCTCATTCCTTACCTATATGTCATGATAGGTTGCCATGGCTACCATTATGCCGTTGAAACATTGCTCTCCCGCTTAACTTCTCTCTTTTGAATTCAGAATGAGGAACTGATGGATCAGCTAAATGGATAATTTGTCTTCTAGTCAGACAAGTGTTTGCTTCATAGTGGAAATCCACTTACTGTTAACTGATTTCTTGCATTTGGAAATACTGTGTGTGTGTGTGTTTTGTTTGTTTGTTTTTTATTCTTTGGATATCCAGACCTTTGTTCCACTTTTTTTTTTTCTGGATTCCAAATAAATTATTTTGAAATTATAGGAAAATTTCCAGGCTTCATTTTCAAGAATAGTTTAAAATATTCCATGTGTCTCAGATCTATGTGCGGAAGGGTCTAGAGATGTATCTGCTTAAAAGAAACAGAGCTCATCATCCACTACAGGCCAAAGTTAGTGGTTCAACAATGCCCTAAAGTCACCCCCAACATGCAGTTCTGAATGTAAAATATTTCCTTCATTTCCTTTTCTTGCATGCTATATAGATCTGATAGCTTTGGAATAAACTTTAATTTCTTTTGGTTAAAACTAGTTATGGGGGCCAAATATTTGGTGGATGGAAAATGACTTGACTATGAGTGGTGGACATACAATACAATATACAGATCATGTATCATGGAAATGTACACTCGAAAACTATATGATCCTATTAACAAAGGTCATCCTAGGTGAGATGATGTGGTATGTGTAAGTATATCTCTCAGTATAATTTTTCCAGCCTCGACTTAGTGTTTAGCAGAGGTGCTTATTCTTAGTTAAGAAACTAGTTAAAGCTCTCTTGGGTCAGTGGACAGAGTGTTGGCCTGCAGACTGAAGGGTCCCAGGTTCTATTCTGGCCAAGGGCACATGCCTGGGTTGCAGGCTTGATCCTCAGTAGGGGTTGGCTGGAGGCAGGTGATCAATGATTCTCTCATTGATGTATCTATCTCTCTATCTCTCTCCCTTCCTCTCTGAAATAAATAAAAATGTTAAAAACAAGCAATAATAATCCTATATAATAAAAGGATAATATGAAAATTGACCCTAAAGGCAAAAGGACCAGGAACAACTGGTTGCTATGTGCACTGACCACCAGGGGGCAGACTCTCAACTCAGGAGATGCCCCCTGGTGGTCAGTGTGCTTCCACAGGGGGAGTGCCGCTCAGCCAGAAGCTGGCTCATGGCTGGCCAGCGAAGCAGTGGTGGCAGCGTCTCTCCCATCTGCACAGCAGCACTAAGGATGTTCCACTAACAGCTTAGGCCCGCTCCGGCCTTTAGCTGGACATCCCCTGAGGGCTCCCAGGCTGCCAGAGGGATGTCTGACTGCCAGCTTAAGCCCATTCCCCCAGGGAGCGGGACTAAGCTGGAAGGTGGACATCCTCCAAGGGCTCTGGGTTGCAAGAGGGCACAGGCCTGGCTGAGGGACCCCTCTACTCAACATCCCCAAGCCCAGAGTACAGAACTTTTGTGCACCAGGCATCTAGTAATAACAATAATTAAAAAAAAAATGAGAAGCTAGTTAAAGACCTTTACTGAGCTATCTAGACAACTGAGTTTTAGCTCTGCACCGTGTTAGCTGGAATATATCTTCATTTTTCTATCTCATTTTTTTCCACTTGTAAAACTATAACATACTTTAGTCTTATTTGTGTACTTAGCAAGGACTTAAGAAAAGCTAACAAATGAGAGAAAATAGCTTTGAACTGTTTAAATAGAAGGTATCACAAAACTCAAATAGAATTCTTTAGATAGTCTATACTTGATTTAAACCAAATCTGACATAAATTCATTATGAATACAGGCCTTTGTGGCCTTATACTTTGTGATAACCTAAGAGTATTGAAACCTTTGGCTGATGTGACAAGTGTCTAAAAGCACTTTTATCAAAACAGGATAAATTGTATTTAGAAAATCCCTAAATTGAGCATTTATTAGCTTCCTTGTGATGAAAACCCACATGAATCATCTTTTTAGTGCTAATCTTAAAAGACATAGTCCTGTTACAAAGAATTACAAAATGTACCACTTTGTGTAACTGTCATATTTCAAAACATATGCTCCGCTCCAGGAATTGAAGCAAGAAAACCTTAAGTATATGAGAACTAAAGTTAAGTATGTGAATTTAGGAAGTTAAGAGTACAAGCCAGTTACAGACTCACATAATTTTAAAGAACTAAGGGAACTTAGAGATATTTAATTTTTTTGTCATAGATGAATTATTTTTTAATGTATGTTTGTATTGATTTCAGAGAGGAAGAGAGAGGGAGAGAAAGATAGAAACAATCAATAATGAGAGAGAATTTTTGATCGGCTCTGTGTCCCACACTGGGGATGGAGCCAGCAATCCTGGCATGTACCCTGATCAGGAATTAAAACATAACCTCCTGGTTCATAGGTCAATGCTCAACCACTGAGCCATGCTGGTTGGGCTTAATTATTGGTAAGACTCATAAAAATACATTTTGTTTTTAAATTCTGGAGTCTGTGATATTCAATTTCAGCATAGGAAAAATAGAAGAAAAATACCAAAAATTTTGTACATGACCAATATAGTGTTGCAATAGAATGATCAAGAATTTAAAAATCAGACATCTAAATTAAGCCTAGTTTTCAAGCACAGTGACTGGATTCCAGAATTAATATAAACAGTGAAGAAATGTAGAAAAAAAAGAAAAGAAAAATAATTGTGTGTTTTTTAAAATAGTATAACAAGCAGTTAAGTTACCTTAGTTGTTTTTCAATACTTTAACCTTGCTTCACTGTTAACATGAGACTCCCAGGATCCAAATAGTGGCTGCTCAGACAGGAAGCTGGTGCTCTTGAATTTATATCTCAGTTCAGAACTTTAATTTTCTTTTGCAGAAAAGATAACAGAACTTAATGCATTTAATCTTTGCAGAAACATTGTCAAATAGTTGAGTAGAATAGCTTAGTAAAAGGTGTAGCTAGCAAAAATATTTATATATTTTGTGCAAAATTACCTAAGTGCATGCGCTTGTCTATTTTCTATGCATGTATCTAAGTAGAAAACATTTCTTTTACTTCTTACAGGGCTGTAGAAAAGTACAGGACTTTCATAATGTAATACCTGAAGGCATGAACTTGAGTTTCCTCTTAGCCTTGTATTCAAATAATGGAAATTACACATGCGTTGTTACATATCCAGAAAATGGGCGTGCATTCAATCTAACCAGGACTCTGGCTGTAAAGGTTGTAGGTAAGCATGATTTGTATCAAGTGTGAAGGATAAAAATGGAATAACCTTGTGGTTTTTTTTCTGTTAATAGTTTATTACAAACATGTTTGTAAAATCAGTGAAAGAGGGGGGAAAAAGCTTTTTGTTTGTTGTTTGCTTGTTTTTTTGTTGTTGTTTATTGCACTCTCCCCAGAGCCTCTTTTCTACATACATACATAGTGGGCATTTGGTAACTATTGGTCTGTTGAGTGAGTATGTGTCCAAACTATGCTGCTGCCATTTAAGAGCAATATGATTTTGGTCAAAGTCTCAGACTCCTCAACTGTACTCTGGGACATAGATTCCCTAACATTCAGGATAGCTAAGAATATTAGACATAATATACAGGCAAACAGTGAAGACTCTGAATAGTAATGAATAATAATATTATTGTCCAAAATCTGTTTTAATAGAATTAAATAAACTATGAGTTTCTATGCACTGCTTTTGTAGTTAATGTTCAAGGTATTTGCATGCAGTGTCCAACCCCTGGTTTGAACTGAAAGAAGAGGGGATGAGAAACTGGGGAAGTGAAAAGGACAATGACTAGGCAGTGTCTACAGATTTCTGTGAAACCCACAGCCAAGAGAACCAGTGTCAGGATATGTGGTATTTGGAGCAGAACCCTAAATACCACTGTGCCCACTGTGTTAAACTTAGAGAATATCAGAGTGAGATTTTGTCAAACCCCATTACTTAAAAAAAAAAAAAGGCAATTTATTATCTTTTTAAAGGTTTCTATAAATCATTAGTACAAGGTATTTGCATTACCCTCCCACCCCCCAGGGGAGATGAAAGCAACCTGCTTAGTTAGAGACATTCACTGCATTGGTAGAAGAAGTTGTTCTAAACCCCAGGTTTTTTACTTTTGTTTAAGGCTTTTTCTACCACTCTGATACCAGATTCAGCTTATGTATTTTTTTAAAGACAGATTTAACATAGTGCAAATGAAATTCAAATAAAACACTTTTGTAACCACTTTCTTTGCTTACTTTCTGAATAGTGTTGAGGTGGGGACTAATTCAAAAGAAAAATCAGACTAAATTTAGAGCCTAACATGAATGGACTTTAAAAGTCAAATGAGTAATCTAACTTTATATTCATGTTGGCAGTTGGTCCTAATATATATATTAAATACTTTAATATGCATCACTTAGTTAATATATATCACAACAATACCCCCAAATTAAGATAATTTAACTTAATTTAATTCTTATAATGAACTTGTAAAATGAATTTAATTACTCTCATTTTAGAGATGAGGAAAATTAGCTTTTCAACAATTTATTAAAAAAGTCATGTGGTTAGTAAATGACCAAGTTGGGATTAGAACACCTATTGGTCATTAAATCTTTGAAGCCTCTACTCTTTAAAAAATATATATATTTTATTGATTTTTTTTTTTTTAACAGAAAGGAAGGGGGAGGGATAGAGAGTTAGAAACATTGATGAGAGAGAAACATTGATCAGCTGCCTTCCTACACACCCTCTACTGGGTTTGTCCCCATAACCAAGGTACATGCCCTTGACCAGAATTGAACCTGGGACCCTTCAGTCCGCAGGTCGACACTCTATCCAATGAGCCGAACTGGTTAGGGCTGAAGCCTCTACTCTTAAATAATACAGTACAAATCTCCTTCAGGATATTTTTCATTCAATTTAGGAATATTGAATGCTATTAAGAGCATTAATACTGTGAATGAACCTTTAACCGATAACTGGACATCATGTACACTTAGGTGCTGGATTCATAGTTGTAATTTTTGGATTTTTCATTTATTTATTCATTTGATACTTACGTAATTAGGTCTTATACAAGGTACTCTAGGAATGTTGAAGAGAAATATGTAGAAAAGAAACAACTGAGAAAAACAGGAGAGCAATTAATTATGCTGTAGTCTGACAAGACTATCTCGTATAAGCTTTGGAAAGTGAAAACATTGGTTAGGCATTCTATTCTGAAATATGGAGGATAATCAACATATTATATTATGTTTGTTTCTTTGCTTGTTTTATATGTTTAAAATGTTATAATCCACTCTATAGTAAATATATTCCATCTCAGAAGGATAATGTAGAATTTCTATGTGTAAATTATCTTCAGAAATATTGACTGCAATTCTTAAGACAAATTGGCAAACCATGCCAGAATGTTGGGCAAGGCTTCACAGAAGAGAATATTTTTGAAATGGGTTAACAGGGACAAAGACTTTATGACTTAACATCATTTCCCATTGTTCTTTGCTCTCTCACAGGCTCTCCAAACTCTGTATTGCCCCCGCAAATCCAATTACCCAATAATCTTGTGGTCTACAAGAAAGAACCAGGTAATTACAGCTGTGGACTCTGAATTTCAGTTATATTATCTTAAATATCTCTGTATATAAAAGCCTAAGCAACTGAACGACTGAACAACCGAACAACTAGTTGCTATGATGGGCAATTGCTCAACACAGGGGGCGGATGCTTAACATAGCAGCTGCCCCCTAGTGGTCAGTGTACTCCCAAAGCCAACCTCCCGAGGCCAGCTAATCTCCTGTGGTCCTTCCCCCTGGCTGGCTGGTCCTAATTGGCCTGATAGGATCGGCTGGCCAATCTCCCATGGTCACTCCCCCAGGCTGGCCAACCCCCTATGGTCTCTCCCTCCCCATAGCTGGCTGACCCCAATGGCCCTGATCAGAACCTCCTGAAACCCCTCCCCTGGCCAACCTCCTATAGCCTGGATTGGCCCCAATTGCTGGCCAGGCCCAGGGTTGCCACCCGTGCACGAATTCATGCACCAGGACTCTAATAAGGAATAAAATGTCACAGAAATTAACACAAGAGAAGAGAGGGCTATTGTAAAGCAAACAAACAAACAAACAAAAAAACACCAGGAATTGAAATTGATATTGTAAGAAACCAGGGTAGCTCTGGGCATTAGCTACCTTCTGGATCTCATGGGGAGCTCAGGGATTCTCTGCTTCTCTCTCAGCAGCTGCTGCTGTCTTCTTCCTCTGTGGAAAGGGTTCCTCTCTTGATGAGGGATTTCTCTTTGATGCAAACTATAACTTACACAGATTTTTTGTTTGCCAAGCCTGTAGCATGAGCACAAGGCATCCATCAAGTTCTGTTCCACTACAAAGGGGCAGGGTTAAAGCTTGGAGTCAGCACTGTGAATATAATAGGTAACAGCTGATACAACCAATACATCCTGTTTCAGAACACTATGAAATATTTTCTATGGTCATCTGGGTCTTTTTATTTTTCAGATTTTTTTCATTCCAGGGAAAAATTACTTGTAACTGATTAAATAATAATAATGATTTATTTATTATTATTCTGACTCAGACTCTCCACAGGTGAGGTGGGAACTGCAGAAAATTTTTAAATTTTCTGAATTCTATCTTTTACAAAAATTCAAAACAAACCCAGTGAAAACTATAAAAGAACAGGTTTTTTAAATGTACTAAAGTTAATAGAGGCAGTGACCAGCATAGGTAGAGAACAACAGTACCCCGACATTAAGATAAGGTTTCAAACAGTGGTGTGCCTTGTAAAAACACAAAGAATGCAACCCCAAATGGACCAAATTTTCTTCATTTAGTACTGGCTTTATGTATTAATATAAACATTCTTCCTGCAATCAGGGTAAACATTTATTAATCATCTAGATATATCCCATATACTTATCACATTATGGTTGCAAAAGCATGCCTGACTCCAATGTCACTTTATCTTCTATATTATATTGATACTAGAGGCCCAGTGCATAAAATTCATGCATGGTTGCAAAGAGGGGGAGGAGGAGGGAGGTCCCTCAGCCTGGCCTATGCCCTGTCACACAGTTATAAGTGTTAGAATCAGGGCTGACCACACAATGTGCAAGCCAGAGTCGATGCATGTCATCTCTGCATCATCCTGTTTTTTTCAGTGTTAGAGTAGCCTTGCCAAGTTTTAATTTTAAATCTCAGGGACTGTTCCCAATATATAGGGATGCATGTTCACCCCCATGTAGAATAAACAGGATGTGGAGAGTTTGGAGGTTCTTCTGATGAATTAGGACTAAACAGCCACAGATCTTTTTTAAATACTGCAGAAGCCTTGTTTAACTGTGTGTGGGATGTAGCCATTTATAAGCTATGACATAGTCACTCGCAATCCGAGATCCCTCGGGGAATGTCCAACTGTCAGTTTAGAGGTTAGAAAAAAATCCTTGTGAGAGAAAAAAATAAACAAAACAAAACAAACTAGAAGCCACTGCAGTGAGGGTGGATTCTGAGGAGCTAGGGTTAACTTTCTGCTTGAAGATTTGCCAAGCCAGGGAAGGGGGGGGGGGAGGGAGGAAGAGAGGGAAAGAGAGAGAGAGAGAGAGAGAGAGAGAGAGAGAGAGAGAGAGAGAGAGAGAGAGAGAGAGAGAGAGACCAAGACTCCAGACTCTTATTCTAAAGCAAAAAACTTTGCTTTCCCCATGTTTATGCACATCTAAACACAAACCATCCTGTACTTCAAGCAACTTGTATTAGGGAAGGAGAACGCAGTCTTAGAGAAAAGGGTGGAGGTTTCAAAACTCCTCTCATCCTTCCAGCTGAAGCTCCTTGGCCCTGCCTCTTTGGGAATCCACACGTATCTCTTGGCAGGTGGGAGGTTAGGGAGCGCAGCACTACCCCGGGAGGGGAAGGTCACGGGACTGCACCCATGGTACTTGCTCCAAGTTTCATTTCCTCAGCCACCCGGGTCGCTTTCCACCTGCCACTGATCCAGTTAAAGGAGTCGGGGTCTGCAGCTGGACGCCTCCAGGCAAAGAGCACGCTGGGGCCGGATTGTCCAGCTCCAAGAAGTCCACATCCCACCTCCACCAGCAAGCAGCGGATCCCTGTGTCCTCCCTGCAGCATGCCAGACTCAATCCGACTGGGTGCTGGGAGAGATTGGACAGCTCCCAGGTGGCGAGTCTGTAGCTGCTGGAGGGAAAAGAACACCTCCCCCCCACCCCACCCCTCCCGCTCCCAAAGCGGTTTTTCAAAAGCCTTCAGCAAGCCACCTAGGTTAAACAGCGCAACCCAGATAAGTGAAGCACAAAGCACGTCCAGGTGGGGCCTGTCCAGACAGGCCTCTCAGCTTTGGCACCTCCCATTGCCTCTGGGCCAAGGACCAAAGATCTGGAGAACCTTTTCTCAGTCCTCCTTTGCTTCTGAGCGATTTAACAAAGGAGCGTAGACCCAGGGTTAGGGCTAAAAAGGATGTTTGTTGGAGCCTTTTTGAACAAATACATTTCATAACATACATGGATTGTATTAATAGATGGACATTCCCCTAATTTTATATAAAGCTGCTTTGCTTCTTTTCTTGATTTGTTTTGCAGTGAGGTATGGTACATCACCTTATGGTAGCCCACTGGAGAACTAGAAATAGGGTTACAGATTCATGTAACATTTTTAGCTTCTGATTAGTCACAGAGTAGAACCAATAGAGCCATGCAAAGGTTACAAACCAAAGGGTTAACGTGTTTTGTTTGTTTGTTTTAGGAGAGGAGCTGCTCATTCCCTGTAAAGTCTTTTTTACTTACCTGAAGGACTCTCGCAACGAAGTTTGGTGGACCATCGATGGGAAGAAGACAGATGACACCACTATTGATGTAACCATTGATGAAAGGTATTGGTGCAGGCAGGAGGGTGAATAATGTTGTCCTTCAATCTAAGACACTCTGCTGTGTACCAATCAATGAAAATAAAAATTCTAATTTTTGCCTCTCACTAACAAAAATCAGCAAGATTTTGTCTGCATTCCAAGGCAGGATTCCTGGACTTGTAATTGGAGGCCCAGGTGCCATCTGATGGTCACCCATTTATGACACCTACTTGATAGTAGATTTAATGCATATCCTATATGAGTGAAAGGGTCACAATATAAGATTATACAGAGATAGAATCATGTCATTGTGGCCTTGTTCTTTTTCTCAAGTCTTGAGTTTGGGTCTAGAAGCATTTGTGCCTGAGATCATTGTGTTCGTTTCTAGTCTTGCAGAAAGCATGTATTTCTCTCTTTCTTAATTCACATAACACATATGCCACATTTATCATTGATAGTGATTTTTTACTCAATATGTTGAGTGGAAACATTCATGACTCAATACATCCATGATCTCTAGATTTTATTTTTAAAGTAGATGGGGTGGCAATATATACTTCACTCTTAAAATAACATGTTGGGTCACTTAGTTTTCAAATAAAATGACTTTTTAAAAAGAAGGTTGGGTTGGCAAGGAGGAAAATATGGTGTTGGAAGACAAAGGATCCCCCATAATGAAGCATACAACTACGAGGGCAATCAGTTCAGTGCAACAATGAATAAAAATTAGTAGCAGACCAACTACTAACAAAGAAGTTCTAAGACCCATAAGCCTTATCACCAATGTGTAACTAGATCTTAGGGTACTAAAACTTCTAGGATGCAAAATATTTTTTTGCCCTAGTATTAAACTTAGACTTTGTGCAAATATCATAAAATGCTTTCTTTTAATCAGGTACCTGAGTAGATTCTACTACTATAGGGGTAACAATGGTAGAGTAAAAAGTTCAATACTCTAATCTGATAGTGCAGTGGCTGGAAGAATTATATGGTATGGGAAGATTGAGTTGGGGAGTCCAATCCATTTTGGGGGATTAGGTAATGCTTCTCAGATCTCACAATACCTAAATAAATATTTGGGGGGGGGGGGGAATGAGTAGAAATAAACTAGATAAAGGCATCCAAAGTATGTTCCAGGTAAAAGGAACATCATATGCAAAGAAGCAAAACACATTTAAAGGTACAGAAGGAGTTTGCTGAGACTGGAGTGGTGTTTGCAGAAGGAATTGATGAAAGACGTGGCTAGAAGTATAGAGGGAGAATTATTGATCATTGGAGGAATTCTGAGGATTGTGCTTTTGTCCTAATGATTGAATAATAATGAAAGTCATGGCATTCCTCCTTGCTGCCATAAAACACAGCTCACTGTTTACAGTTGAGCAATGCCATTAAACTTGGGTTAAACCCACTATAGTTTTTAACAAAGTTCCCAGGGCTGACAGCAAATGTTCTCAGAAGGAGAACCTGGCCATCAGTCAGCTGTAACAGCTTTTTTTTTTTTTTTATCTTCTTTTTGAAAAAAAGTAATTCAAAGGGATTTTAAATCTTGTTCTTGGACCCAAAGTACTTGATCTCTGACTTCCTTAGATTTAGATATCTTTATACTCACAAGGTTTATTTACTCAGAAATTTCTTCTTTTTATATATAGGATTTAGCCACGATATTTTTGCATTTTGACTGAAAGTCTGTTTGGATTAAAAATCAAAGCTTTGGGGGTCCCTGAAATGCATAAGTTATTACTGAGAAATCATAATAGCTAGATGAATAATATGAATATTCCTAAAGTATTGCTCTAATACTTGCACATTATCATACTCAGCCCTCAGAATTCTTAATTGCGTGTATCTGATGTACTATGTAACCATTGCCACTGTCCTCTTTTGCAAATGATCCTCTCAAAACATGGAAAAATTAGTTACTCTGCCAAAAGGATTCAGCCAGTCAGTGGCAAAGCCTGGATCAAAATCCAAATGGGTCTAGCATCAGAAGCTTCTCTCTAAACCAATATACTATCAATAGTAGATAGCATCCTGCCTCAGAAGTTTGAGGGGATACATTTTGCTTTGAAGAGAGTTAGAGAGATCTATATCCATAGTGTGATGCCAACACTGGGATTTGATCCAGGTATTGGGATTGTGTCTAGTATCGATGGTAAGGAATAGACTGGACTCCAGGAGTTTTTGTAACCATTGGGTTACAATGCAATGCAGTTTATGGCCATTCTATCTGCCCTCACCTAGTGGTTCTCTGGTTGTCTGCTTGACTGATTCACATACAGCACATGGGCCTTGATTCTCACTAATGCTCTGATTTTCTTTCCCTTCTTTCCAGTGTGAGTCTGGATGCACTGGAACATGAAACAAGAACTGTGACTCTGAGCATCAAGAAAGTTAGGGCTGAAGATCTCAAACGCAACTATGTCTGTCATGCTAGAAATGGCAAAGGGGAGGTTGAGCAGCCAGCCACGGTTAAACAGAAAGGTAATGGATGCATGCTCAGCAGAGGAATCTAGGAATTCTGACATAACATTTTGGTGACTAAGGAAAAGAGGAGAAATTGAGAACGTGGGCTCCAACACTTACCACAACATCTACCACATAGTCATGAATCAAAGTTGGATGAAAAATCTTGAGAAAAATTTCCATCTATGCAAATATATTCAAAATAATTTTAGTAATTAATGCCTGATTGTGGCTTAAAAAAATCTATGCTTATGATAATGAGGCATAATTTCCTATCTATATAGTCATGAAAATGAAAAATAAAGAAAATATTCAAAATTACCAAAGATATAATAAAAGAGTCACATGTTGTTAGTGAATTGTAAAAACCCTTTCAGAAATCATTGCTGGCAGAGTTCAAGAGTCATAGAAATGATCATATTCTATGAATTAGTATTTTTGGAATTTTTCGTGAATAAATAACACAAAGAATCATGGCCCCAATCAATATTCTTAGCATTAGCTATAATAATGAAACATAAGTAGCAACCATCTAATTGTATGCAAGTAAAGTAAAATGTAAAGTATTTATTATTGAAAATAAATTTTTAAAATTATCACTTTATACACTATGTATCAGTATTCAAGTGAGTTTACAATATACCATTAGCCACAATTGGTAACAAAATTAAACCTATGACTTAAATGATGTAAAATGATTTCTATGTTGATATTACTATATTTTTCTACAATAAACAAAAATTATGAGGCTTTCTTGTGTGAGCTGTTGCTCTTGAAACAGAATATGTCTAACATATTTTTGGTTCTTTCAGAATAACAGACAATATCTTCAAGAATGCTTTCCAATAATCTGGAGGCAGATAATGATGATTTATCACATTTGCAGCCAAGTCATTCAGAATTATTTGGGATCCCCTTGTTAGTGCCCATAATATTTATATCAAAAGTTTAAAAAAAGTTAATTTAAAATTGTTACATTTCAAATCTTTTTAAAAGCTGGTTAAAAGAAAAACACAACAGACTTCACTGTAACATTTTTATTACAATTTTGAAATTAAAAAGCAAAGGTTGAAAAATCTCTTAAGGAGTTTTAGTAGATCAGTTCTGGGTAATTAATTGCCTCTCTTCCTCAGAAGTCAATGTAAAGAGAAAATAACCATATGTTCAAGACAGTGTTTCCCAAAGTTTCTTCCTAAGAACATTCCCAAGACTCTAGATTCAGGTGGTCTATGTTCAGAAAGTGGTTTTTATGTACCCAACTCCATGACTTTGGAAGAGACACTTCACCTCTCTGAGCTTTAATTTCTTTATATTTAGAGTAGGCAAAATAATACCACTACCTCATAAGGTTGCTTTTAAGTTCTGAGCACAGTTACTGGCATCTATACATATATATTAAATTCATAATAAATGTTAGTTCTTTCTATTTCCACAGATTTTCATAGGTGTTATTTGACAAAGGCTTGCATAGTCAAGTCAGTATCATTAAAGTCTAGGTTAAAAACATGATCAAATTACTTTAGTTCAGGGCCCCTTAGCATACTACCATTTGGTATGAATATCTGCAGGGTGTTGGACATAGTAGGAAAGATTTATTTTCAGGTATATATGACTCCTAACCATGGAACATTTTGTGGGACTTGTCTTCAGAGGCATGTGTTTTTTTTTGGAGGTTGACATAAATTAATAATGTATTGTCAGGTGGATAAGATCAATGTAATCAATTAAAATAATATTGAATCTAGAAGTTATGCAGAAGTCTATCCACCAGAGCTAGTGGAGTAGCTCCCCTTTCACAGAAGGGTGTGCTAGATTGTTTAGTATGACTGGCCTCAGAAATGTGAAGTGATAACTATATCCAATACAACAGATTTAATATTCAAAATTACATTATTATATCCTCTGAGATATTTTTATTTGTACATATATCTTATTTTGGGTTCTTTAAAACTTCTTGGTTTGTTGAGTACATTTTTTAAAATTTAATTTGAAAAAATTTTAGTTGTTATTTCTTTTCCCCCTTTATTTTAATTTATTTATTTCCCATGTCATCACCACTTATCCCCAATACACTTTTCCACCTCTACCCGTCCTCTTCTCTCCACAAACACCATTTTCACAAGTTCTTTCCTTTTTTTTTCTTTTTGCTCAATCCCTCCACCTGAATACCTCTTAACACACACACACACACACACACACACACACACACACACACTCCCCAAAGATGTTGGCCTACTTGTTTAGCTTGTTCATTAAATTCCACATATAAGTGAAATCATATGTTACTTGTCTTTCCCTGACTGGCTTATTTCATTTAGCATAATGTTCTCCAGGTCCATTCATGTGGTCACAAAGGGTAAATGTTTTGCTCATCCTTTCATTCATTCATTCTTTTCTTTCTTTCTAGTATTGCAATTAAACTTAGGATAGAGCACTCACACTTGATGTTGTCCCACTAATCATTGAGGTTCTCATTATTCTTTATTTCTTCCTTTCCCCCCTCTGTATTTCATTTAGGATAGTTTCTGGTGATCACTGGTCATTTATTTATAATTGTTGGAGTGTCGTTCAGTACACCAAAATGTTGTGGGTTGGATTCCTAGTCAGGGCACATACTTAGGTTGCTGGAGGGCACATACCTAAGTTGTGGGTTTGATCTCTGGTCAGGGTGCATACAGGAGCCACTGATCAATGTTTCTCTCTCACATTGATGTTTCTCTATCTATCTTCCTCCCTTCTTCTCTCTCTAAAATCAATAAACATATTCTTGGGTAAATATTAAAAAAATTAACAAGAATATTTATAATATTCATTTTGTATTTTTTATGTAGAAAACTTATTTATTCCATTATAATTACTTATACAATTAGTCATAGAGAATTAGTCATAGGCCTGCTGGTGAAACAGGTCACCCAAAACAGATATAGTATCAAACTAGTGGTCAAGAACTAACTACTGGGGGGGAAAAAAAAAACAAAAACATTGGATAGTATACCTGTCAAGTGAAAACATACATCTTTACAGCTTGGTTATCCCAAGCTTTGTGTGTATGTTTGTTTTAAATTTTATAGAAAGGAAACAAATAACATTAAAGTAGCTCAAGAAGTACACTAATAGTCAAAATGTGTGGGGGAAAAGAAACAGGTAGTTTCGATTTAACTCACAAAACTGAGATGAGATGGGTCTACACAGGAACATGTGCATCCTGGAAATACAGGTGTGAAGATTTCAGATACAGAATTTATATGACTTCAATCTCCCCTAATTTCTGAATAAAAACAACATCTTGCAGTACTTATACTTCATGCCTCAGGCACCTACCTCACTTTTCTTTATTCCTTACTCACTTCTAGGCTTCACTTAAATAAGTCTGAAAAACTTGGAGTTATAGGATAAGAAAAAAAGTAAACCACACACAATATTCCCTTTTTGGTGGCTACTTTATATCTTTGTTACTAGAAAAGTTCTCAAGAAATTTTAAAAATAAGTCTGTGGCTTTGCTGAATCAAGTTCCCCAAGTTAATATTTATAACACACCATCTGTTTGGGCTAATAGCATTGTTGATAGTATCTATTATAGAAGGATAGCTGATCAAAGTCTGTGTCTCAAAACCAACATTAAATCAATCTCAAGATTGAGTGATAACAGGGGAATCTAAAATCACAAGAACGACAGACGTATCTAAAACCCCTGTCTTAGATCCACGTGTCCTTGAGGGTCCTGGTCATTATAAATGTTCTCTGGTATTTGCTGTACTTGCATGATAGTGGCTTCCAACACAGAACAATCACTCAAAGTTCATTGACATTTCAGGAGAAATCCGTTATCTCAACAGTGTGATTACCATGTAAACAACAACTTCAGTGGCCCATCTTCTGCATCTCTGGGGATTGTTCCTCTCCAGTTTCATTTAAATACCAGACATTCAGTCTGCTATCAATACCTCTGGATCCAAAAGAGTCTCCTTGTGAGGTGACCACTGAACCTGGAATATTTCATCCTTATATGGTTCAAAAAACTTAAGTTTCAGATTTATCAGATCCCATAAGGCAACAGTCTTATCAGCTGATCCTGGTGGCAAGAATGAATTCACTATAAGGATTGAAACAAAGGTTGTTCACTTCAGCAGTGTGACATCAACTGAGTGGCTTGATTTGAAAGTATTATTTGGACGAATATCCTAGATTATAAGTTTCTGATCATCAGCAACTGACCCAAACAGAGACTCATGGAGCAGATGCCAGGAAACATCTACTGCTACATACCCTGTAAAAGCTGGGCTTTACATCCATGACTTTTCCTTTCTTTGGTATAGCACTGATGTCCCACAGGCAGGTGCTGTGGTCATCTGAAATACTAAATAACTGCCCACTGAAATTTGCACTTCAAGAAAGCCGTAGCCTTTCTTCTGATGTCCACAGAGACACATGTCTGGGTTGCACTCTCCAGAAGGAACTGGTTTAAAGGCTATTTTGTATTGTCAAAAACAAGAACATCATTAGATGGAGTCTTTGTTGCAATGATGCAAGATTTCTGGTGCATATAACATGTCCTTTTACTTCTCCTTCATGGGTGATCTTGATTTCTATTTCAACTTTCCCACTTATAGAGCCAAAACCTCCAAGTTCTCCTTTCTCGCTGTTACAGGTTGAAGCATCAAACAGAGCATCGTAGTTAGGGAGCTGCACACTGGCTGTCACAAGGTGGTTTTGTTTATCCAACCTGTGTGTCCCTAGCCAAGTTGATGAATGCTGAAATCTTTCCCTTCTGGTCTGGTTATATCTGGAAGCTACTATGCAGTTAGGATGGACCACTCCACGCATGGGTCTTCACCAAATAGTAAAAGAAGGAGTGTTCTTTTTCCACATCTTGTACATTTTATTGATCACATGTTCTTCCGCTGTGTCATCAAAGGTTGCTTCCTTGTTGGACATGGAACATAGGCAAGCCTGGGGGAACCCAGGGGTCTAGCCTTTCAGGAGGGTTGGGGAGGCTGCTGTCACTTCCTCTGTGTCCATCACCTCTATTGTCACAATACGGATCTTGAAGCATTTATCTGCTAATTCCATCAGCTCTGTCAATGCTGGTTCTGTTTATATTGGCTATTTTTTTCTAATTATGGGTCTTTTTTTTTTTTTTTTTTTGCTTTTTATTCTGCCTACATTATTTTTTAAATGTATGTGGGACATTATACATATTACATTATTGAGTATCTGAATTTTGTGTTTTGTTCTAGTAGTTGGTTAATTTACTTATATAACAGTTTGCTTATTTTCTGAAGCATCTTGCTTATCATTGCTACAGTAAGCCTTTTCTCTGAGTCAGGATTGGACCTATTAACCTGAGATTTCTACTTAATAATTGAGTAGTCTTAACTCAAATGTGTCCCACTCCTGCATGTGCTCCTAGAATTGTTCAGTTCCCAGCTCTCTAGTAGTTGTATCTTCCCTGATCATTTCCCCTTCACTGCAGCTATTCTTTGTCTGACCTTGGTGAAGGTGTCACCCTTAATATGCAAAACTTTGTATTTTCCCAAATGCGTGTAGATTTCTAACGCTCTGTTTCTATTAATACACAGTTTTCTTTCCATCAGGACCCAGGCCTGCATGTTCCAGACCCTGAACTCTACTTTCTGTCGCCTCAGCTCAGCATGACTAATGTTCTTGTGGGTTCCCCTTCTGTGCTGCAGGTCCAAAAAGTACCCTCAGGCTATTAGTCAGGGTGATCCTGGGGCTCACCTTTTGTGTGCCCTTTCTCTTGCAGATCACACTCCTGCACTACTGGTTATTTTGGCCTTGATGGAGAGAAAGCTACTCCAGTACCAATTACTCCTCTGAGATAAGAAAAGGTCCAGAATGTGCAGGCTTTAATGCACTATGGTAGTAAACAAATCAGGTCTGCAGGTCAATTGAGTCATAGGTTTCTGCATTACTATAATTTAAATAAAGCATTTTCTTTGTAATTCAGGAAAATTATCATCACTGCAGCTCCAGAAGTATTGAGAAGTCCAAGCAATTTAGTAAAGAGTAGGAGGGAATACTTGGAAGTCCAAGCAGCTGGCATTTTGGTTGGTAATAGATTCAAAGGACTGCAAAGTCCCAGCTATGATAATGATGATGATGAGAGAAGCTTAGGTTTCCAAGGAGAAACAAGCATGTAGACCCATAACCTGGAACAGGAAAAAATACTAGAGTGATGATGTTGGACTGATTTCACCAAGAGTAGTTAGCTAAAAATTTAGGCTTCGAAGCTTGTTTTTACTGTATAAATGCAAAATGGATAGAGGGAATTTTGATCCAGGGAGTAACAGCAGAGCAAGTGGCTAAATTTGGCGACATCTTGAAACAGATTATGAATGAGACCAAAGAGAGAAGCTGTTTCAGAGCCCAATCCGATCAAAATTCATCACCTCTTCCTAATCCGATAACCTTTAATCTGGGATTGCATCAGAGTAAAGTCTTCATGCCAAAGCATCAAACTACATCTGGGACAGACAGAAAATGTGGGCTGAGGGTCACACATCCCTGCAAGCCAGCAAAGCTTTATGGGAAAGCTTTTTTAGAACACTTTCTGTATGTGATTTAATCCATTTAGTAATTTAGGCTTATTTTAAGAATTATTTATTATTTGGATTATTTATTAAGAATTATTTATTATGTGGATAATTTATTTTAAGAATTCAGTTAGTGCCGAAACTGGTTTTGCTCACTGGATAGAGCGTCGGTCTGTGGACTTAAAGGTCCCAGGTTTGATTCCAGTCAAGGGCATGTACATTGGTTGTGGGCACATCCACAGTAGGGGGTGTGCAGGAGGCAGCTGGTCAATGTTTCTCTCTCATCAATGTTTCTAGCTCTCTCTCTCTCTTTCTTCCTCTCTGTAAAAAATCAATAAAATATATTAAAAAAACAATTCAATTAAATAGCATTAAGAACTCCCTAATATCATCAAATGGCCTTAAAAATACAATCTGTAAATACAGTACATGTAATTGTATGATACAAAGTAAAATTAAAAAGCCCTTAGAAATAAAATAGACACTAACAAAGGGAAGATGGCAGAGGGAAATTTATGAGAGTAATTGAACTCTTGATCATTAAGCAATGTGTCTATTGATATTTAATTTTTTAAATTGTTGATTGATTTGAGAAAGAGAGAGAGAGAAAAACATTAATTTGTTTTCCCACTTATTTGTGCATTTATTGGTTAATTTTTGTATGTACCCTGACCTGGAATTGAACCCACAACCTTGGTATATCCGGACAATGCTCTAACCAACTGAGCTACCCAGCTAGGGCTGATATCTATTAATGCTTGAAAAACCCATTTCAGGTAACTGCATCCACTGACCTCTTTTTTCTTTTTTTCTTTTTCTTCCTATTATAAAATGTCTACCCAGAGGCAGCCAAAATAACTGAACAAATAATGAAGATGACAGTGGGAATTACCCCAGTGTACTGTTAACATAACATGTACTCAGAAATACCTAGGACACAGCAATTTTCATGCCAGCTATCCAAATTGAACTTAGTAAATTCTCAAAAACTGCAATGACATAGCGCCTGGCATTTATTGTATAATGGAGTTTTCTTATTTTAAAGCACCATTATTTATGGAACGCATGCAAACGTACTCTATAATAATTCTACATTGCTGAGTTCCAGGCTATACCTGCCACAGGATTAGTATGCTGAGTTTAGGATAATGAACTTAAAACTATGATTTGCCCTTTAATTAGAGAACTTTAGGCTGAGCTCCAAGCTGCTTTCCATTTCCCCTTAAGATACTTATTTTAAAAGAGACCTTTCCACTAATATATGACCACTAATTGAACTTCCAGTAGTGTTGTGCAAAGATTTCTGGATTTAGAGTCAGGGAGCCTCAATAATTCCAGCTGTGAAGGAGAGTTTCATTAGCAGGATGGTGAGATCAGTCATCTTTGAGCAATTAAACATTGTAATTGGTGTTTGCTGAGATGAGATATAATAGAATTTTGTTCACAGCTAGAATCATTGAGGCTCCTTGACTCCAAATTCCGAGATCTTTCTACAACACTATTGTGAAGTTGTATCCACTAAACTACACATTTAAATGACTAAATATGTAGTTTATTGGGGACTGGGAGAGAGTGCAAAAGCAAACTACACACAAATTGCAATACAATAAAATCTGTCCTGCCCTAGCTGGCTTGGTTCAGTGGATAGAGCATTAGTCTGTGTACTGAAGGGTCCCAGGTTCGATTCCATTCAAGGGCACATGCCCAGGTTGTGGGCTCAATCTCCAGTAGAGGGCGTGCAAGAGGCAGCCAATTAATGATTTTCTCTCATCATTGATGTTTCTATCTCTCTCTTCCTCTTCCTTCCTCTCTGAAATCAATAAAAAATATATTTTTAAAAAAATCTGTCCATACCTTGATATTGCAAGTCAGACTTTGGACTGTGTATCCTAGAACTGTAGACCTAAGAGATACTTTCAGAGCCACACACACTGACTGAGCATTTGGTGCATACCCTCTGTTTCTGCTCAATGAAAATAAAATTTTGGAGGCCTATTTCCAAATATAAAGGAGAGGGAATTAAATTTCTTCCATATGGCATTGGACAAGAGGATAAAATTAAGACAAATGGAAGGAAACACATGAAGATTTTGTTCCATTTAACTGCTCCAACAATTAAAACTCTACCAGCATCATGGGTGATCCCGGAAATAATAAATATTTTTATCTCAAGAGAAGGGAAAAGTAGAGGATGAATTATTCTTTTTGAAAATATTTTTGAGTCTGAGTGGTATGGCTCAATGGTTGAGCATCTACTTATGAATCAAGAGATCACTATTCAAATTCCTTGTTGTGGGCTTGATCTCCAATAGGGATGTGTAGGTGGTAGCCTATAGATTTTTCTCTACACAGATCTTGCTATCTCTGTTCCTCTCCCTTTCTCTCTCTCTAAAAATAAAAACACATTTTCAAAAACATTTTTAAGGAAGTCTGTCATTCAATTGTAAATTGAATTAGATAACCTCTAAATCCTTCCCAAAGGAAAAGATTCTGTATATCATAAATCTATTGAAATTATCTAATGGTTAAAAATGCCTTCTATGCCAATAACTGGAAACAAAAAGAGAAAAATTACACATATAGTATTAAAACAGAGTGGCTGACCCATACCATATTATCTCTGCTTGTTCACACACACACACACACACACACACACACACACACACACACAAATCAGGTGCCTGGCTCAGCTGCTTGGCTTATCCAACTATTTGCAGGATGATGGGTTACTCTGATCACCACATAGACATCAATTGTTTCTTTGTTGTTTACTACAGTGATCGCTCCAAGATACACAGTGGAACTGGCCTGTGGGTTTGGAGTCACAGTCCTGCTCATGGTGATTCTCATTGTTGTTTACCATGTTTACTGGCTGGAGATGGTGCTGTTTTACCGAGCTCATTTTGGAACAGATGAAACCATTTTAGGTGAGTAACGGGAGTTTGATATAAATCTCTTCTAGTGTCATCTTTATAAAACACGCTGGCCCGATAAAATCTAGATTTTCCTGGAACATTTAATCGCACTACCTTTTGTTTCAGCCCTTACTACTGAGAATCTTTCTAATATTATTATTTTTCCAAAATGGAACATAGTCTAGATTGGCACTGTCCACATAGAACTATAATTCAAGTCACAAATGTCGTTGAGATTTTTTAGTTGTCATATTAAGAAAGGGAAAGTGATTTTAATGATGTATCTTTTTAACTTAAGATGTTCAAAATATTAACATCTTAGCTGGTAATTAATATTAATTTAATAGAGATATTTTAGGTACTAAAAAAATCTTCAAACTTTAGTATGTAATGAATCTTATACTTACAGTGCATCTCAGTTCAGATCAGCTGAATTTCAAGTGCTCAATATCTGCTTTGGTTGTGGTTATTGTCTTGGACAACACAGGTCCACACTCTGTACTCAGGGCTGATTCGTGCACCAAAAGCATCAGAATCACATGGGAACTTATTGAAAGCAGCATCTTAAACCAAACCCTTAATCTGAATTAGAACCTATATTTTAACACTATTCCCAAATTGTTCATGCACTCATTAAAGTTTAAGCAATATTGTTCTGGTGTGTAATTTCCTGGTGACAGAAAGTTTGTGGCAGGGTCACAGAACCTATGTTTTTAATAAGAGATGATTTTTATAATTAGGCAACATTGGGAAAGATTGGTTTATTGAACCTACATATATTTTTAATTATAGTTATTTTCAGATGTAATTGGACCATTTCTAAAAGGTTTGCTCATTTTATAATTCTAGCATGTTAGTGAGTGACAGACTAGGACAGTAGACATTTTCTGCATGGTATTAATTGCCAGCACCTATGATTGACTGTTTACTTTCTGGTTCTGTTAATTCACAATTGAATGAGCCAAGTCTCACTGATTGTCCACCATAGAAACTGAACTCAGTAAGAAGAGAGTAGAAGACATATCAGATAAGACTTATTAATTACACCTTAAAATAACCATTTTACCTAGAAAAAAAATCACACTGAAATTTGTCAGATAATTCATATAAGTAAAAAAAAATGAGAATGTCTAATTTGCAAAAGTTGGATTTAAGAAAACTTTCCTAATTTTTATTGTATCTGTGTTCTTTTTTCTAGATGGGAAGGAATATGATATTTATGTATCATATGCAAGGAATGCTGAAGAAGAAGAATTTGTATTGCTGACCCTACGGGGAGTTTTGGAGAACGAATTTGGATATAAGCTGTGCATCTTTGACAGAGACAGTCTTCCTGGGGGAAGTAGGTATTCAGATGAGTATAAGTGGTGCTGCCCTACAAGGCAAAGGGGATCATTAGCTATAGATCATGGATGATAATTTTGGCACCATGAGCTTTATGTTGGCATTTTGGACTTTTAATGTCCAATTGTGTCCTGTAGTAGGCAGAGAGAATCTCTAGGAATAAACTTCATCACAAGATGTAGACTATTCAAATGCAGTTTATGGTATATAATATCCCCCCTTCTAAGCTTTAAAAACTTGAATTCAGAAAAGTTTGGATGCACAGTGGATTGGAGGTCTATAAAATGTCATAGATTTAAACATTCTTTTTACTCACATTTAAGTTTTTAGCTAGTCTGAATTAATTTTCCCAGAAGTTTTCTACAAAGACTGAGTTTAAACAGTTTTATAAAGACTAAGGTTTACTCAATTTAACAAAAAAACTGCGTTGCAAAATAGAGTGCATGGAATTTTTCTTTATATTACTCACTGATAATAATTAGAATATTTCCCTTTGGCATTTGCTAATTTCCTTGCCCTCACTTTTGTTTTCCAGCAAATCATCACCACTCAAATTCTCCTTTCCCTTGGGTCAGTTTCTTCCTTCCCATCAGCTTACATGTTTCAGATAGTTTAAAATTTTACAAAAGTCTGATGTATTCTAGTAGGTTAAAAAAAAAAAGAAACTTCAATTGCTGAATGTTTTAACATAAAAGTACATCTCTAATTTTCAGGTCCACCCAGTAGCATACAAGGTGATGGTTCATTTGAGTCTGTTTTATAAATACATAATGGCATCCATAAACCCACTATTAATATTTGTACTGTTAGAATGTATGCCATGTCTCTAACATTCAGTACAACAAACTAATTTTCTCCTCCTAAAAAATACTGTTTACATTAACCACTTCACATGTTTGTTTTTGTTTAATGTCATATGGATAATTGTGAATAGCCTCAATTTAAGTCTCATACAGAACAGACTTGTTTATTCTCATGTTGAAATAGCTGGATCACTTATCTCCTAAATCATCCCAAAAGTCCATCTTGCTTGTGTTCTGCAGTAGACATCTCTCTTAGTATAATTTTGCCAGAAAATGAGGGCTTGATTATATGGTTACAGGATAAATTCCACTCATTTTAAGACTTAAAATTCTAAATCATTTACTCTCCCATTTGCTCATTTATGCAGTGCAGCTGTTCAACAAATATTTATCTATTGTGTAAAAAATTATACAAAGATTCACAGTAAAACAACAACGTAAGACCCTCCAATAGGGGTTGATAGTTCTTTGAAGAATTCAAGTTCTACATAATTACTCTTGCATCCTGCTTTGATGGTTGATCCTGGTGACCATTCATGTTTTCCCTGCTCTTCTTTTTGAGACATCTTTGCCTGTGGGCCTCTTACCATGCCTACGCATGGTCTGCCTCCAGCAACACTACTTGGAAAAGACAGTTGCTTATTCCTGGATTCTCCTCCAGGTTGCTCATGCTATTTTAATAGAAAGTCTCCCCTCACTGCCTCTTTTTCTATGAAGATTAAGGAATAAAATGATGGCTTAGGAAAATATGGTAAGTCACGAAATAGTTTTCCACAACACTAGTGCCTTCCCTGGAGTTGACTCCTATCTAAACCCCAGGTAAAGAGTTACAATGTCTTTGGTAAGCAAGCTCAAGTTGGATTATTCTCAAGAATTTAGTGACAAGAACTTCTCAAAGCCCCTGACAACAAAATAAAATTAAAGGTGCATTTCCATTTTCTTGCTCTCCCTTCTTCTCTGACCCAAAGAAAGCATTTGCCTGGTGTGAAGGCAGACAGATCAGCCAGCAGCTGCTGAAACACATGGCTTCCTCATAATGATAGAAATTGATGCAGAAAGATCCAGGGATTAATTTAGCTCCTGAGGAGAAAGTAGAATAGAAAGCTGAGCTGGGGCTGGGGCGGGGGGGTGGGGTGGGGTGATGCCAGCCAAAATGCCATTACATTGGCTAGATGTTTTTTAAAGTTCTTATTGGAATGACATTCTAGTTGGGGTGTGTTTGATAATAGAGAGGGACCTTTAAAAAAAAAAGAAAATTCTTGCTCTTGCTGTTCTATATCTGTGAAAATGAATTTCAATGATTTTTTACTCTCTAGTGTATATATTACTGAATGCTCATGGGCTCTGGAGAGTTGATGCATGGATATCTGTGGGGAGAAGGCTCAGTAGCTGCTTTGGATAGGACACAACATGCCACATGGTTTGAAAAAAATTTTTCAATATCACCATTATATTCCTTGATGTCCCAACTAATACTTTTAAAAACCAACGTCATGGAAGCACATTGTCTTCAGTTCTGTGTGGAATTCTTTTGGGGTTGGAATGTGTGCGTATAGTTTTTATTCTTCCTGAGGAGAGTGGCATTTAGTGAGCAGTGTGAAAGCATCTAAGTATGAGGTTGTTCAAAGTGTTCTTGGTCAGCAGTTTCACCTCCATTCTCAGGCTGATGCCCTAAGCTTCCAACCTTTGTTCCTCCATCCCCATGCTTTTTGGGGAGTTCTTGGCCAACACTAATCCCCATGGTGTTTTCTTTCCCAGTTGTCACAGATGAGACCTTGAGCTTCATTCAGAAAAGCAGACGCCTCCTGGTTGTCCTAAGCCCCAACTACGTGCTCCAGGGAACCCAAGCCCTCCTGGAGCTCAAGGCTGGCCTAGAAAACATGGCCTCTCGGGGAAACATCAACGTCATTTTAGTACAGTACAAAGCTGTAAAGGAGACGAAGGTGAAAGAGCTGAAGAGGGCTAAGACGGTGCTCACGGTCATTAAATGGAAAGGGGAGAAATCCAAGTATCCACAGGGCAGGTTCTGGAAGCAGCTGCAGGTGGCCATGCCAGTGAAGAAAAGTTCCAGGTGGTCTAGAAGTGGAGAGCAGGGTCTCTCCTATTCATCTTTGAAAAATGTATGAAAGGGACAATGAAAGTGGTAAACAGAGCCCAGGGTACCCAGGAAGGAAGAAACCTTCTTGATACCCAATGTATTGTTTAATGGACATAAAACAATTCTATGGAAGCCTCCCTATAGGGATAAATTTAGGGTGACTGGTTGCATTTCCTCAGGCAATACTAAGATTTAGAATGATCATGCCACCAATCTGTTACCAGTGTCCAATGACACTATGTTCTCTATGTTCTTTGCAGGTAAAGACTTGGCTGATGTGAATTTTTTATTCTGCATCTTCTATCCATCTCTCTCTCTCTCTCTCTCTCTCTCTCTCTCTCTCTCTCTCTCTCTCTCTCTCTCTCTCTTTCTCTCTCTCTCATTATAGGGCTGCCTTTGCCTATAGTTCGAAAGAGCCCTTAAAGATAAGTCATCTGTTAATAGGGTCATTATGAGTTTCCAAGTATAGTTTTCTTCTCCTTTTATTATTTCTCATCTATTAAAAAGATAATCAGTGTCTAAATATACTTTAGCTGGCTAAGGATACCTTTTGCTCATTCTGCTGTACCACAACCTTCACAGTAAGACTGACACCTACTTGGATGACACAAAGCAGTATTACTGACAATTATTCTTATAATTGATTTGAATATTCTTATAATTGATTAAAAATTGCCTGCATTTTCTCCTATTATATCCTTAAGTGTCCTCTATCTCAGGTAATTGATGGTATGTTTTTCAGTTTGAAAAATATAAATTTTTTATTATAGTAAACTTCTGAATATTTGTAGGTCAACCCATGTTTATCATTCCATCTTCCCTCTCTACTGTAATTTGCTTATATCGGACACCTGGAGTTTACAGGTGGTTCCACATTTGGTTCAGTCTGATAGGAAGCTTTTCCTAATGGTGCTAATAGAGTGAGATAATGGCAAATTTCTTTGAGGGCATTAGCAGAGTAGGGTGTTTGGCCTACTCTGTTCTATATCTGTGAAAATGAATTTCCATGATTTTTTACTCTCTAATGTATATATTACTGAATGCTCATGAAAATGAATTTCCGTGATTTTAATATCAGCCTTATTAATGTGAATATTATGAAAGTGATTTCTCATCACTTATTTCTGTCTTCTCATTTTAAAGTGTGGAAGTCAAATTCAGTGACCTTGAGAGCTGCTTTTAGCATTAATACTCTAAAAGCATTAACTGAAGCCTTCATTGTCCCTATTTTATTCACTCACTCCAAACAAGTAAGCTGAAAGATCACTGTCGATGTAACTTGTTTTAGTTTGTTTTTTAGTAAAGTTTCACTGTTTTAAGACTTGGAAAAGTGAAAACTTAGTCTAGAGTTTATAAGTGAAATATAAATACATATATATGTGCATATATTTATATATACACATAAAATTATATACATAAGTGTATCTAAATTGCATACAGATACACATGAATTACATATGCATATATACATGCATGAATTATATTTTCATGTATACATATACATACATGTATATAAACATATATATGCATATTACTTTAGTTATTATCACAATACTACAAGCTACTGAAATTATTGTCCAGTTTTTAAATTGGTTTTAATGTAATGCTTTTGTGTTAGTGTTTTCTACACATTAACATTATTTGTGATTTCACAGATTGTAAGTGGTAGCTGTTGTTAGTTCTTGCCTTTCCTAAATTAGTGTGCATAATTTACTCCTGCTAGAGCTGGGTTCAGTAGAATCTGTTGTGCACAGATCTTCCATGGTCACTGCTAAGCAATAGCATTATTTGATCATCTGGCATTATTTGATCATCTACTATGTTTGAGGCACATATATTTAACAACTAAGCTATGTGAATCTTTGTGCTCAACTACTGGAGAAATAAATCTCTATTTGACTATTGAGTAATAAAAGAAAAGAAAAGAGAAAAAGCCTATAAATGAGCCTGAGTATCCTATGAAACACCATTACTCATAATTTAAGGAAATCCTTATTCAATAGTATGAGTATTATTAAGCAATTCTAAAACCATCTCTTACTTTTAAAGTCCTTTAGCAGATTTCTTTATAGAGGAGTCATTGGTTATTTTAGTAATAAAAGCATAGATTTTTTACTATAAAACTGTTCTAGAAGTCATTCTGGAATCTAACATTTTTAGCCTTATTAATGCTTTTCTTGCTAAAAACCACAATTACTCCTCCTATTAATCCTTCATTCACAAAACCAGGGAGACTTGACTCCAGATAAGCTTTGTATTTCAAATTCTTGCATTAGCTTTAGGTAAATGGGGAGGGGGGGGGCAATCCCATCACCAAGGGTCAATTCTCTTGCCAATACTGCATTCTTTTTGCACTTTTGAATTTAATATTTATCCCAACTGCTGTTCTGTGCCCCTAGAAGCATCTTGACATTTCCCCCCTATTTATATTCTTGTCTTTGGTACTGAGCTTTTCTAATGCTAAAATTAAAAACATCTCAAATTTCCATGATGTATCTCATTCCAAGATAATTTTTCAAGATTTTTTGTTTGTTTTTTATGTACCACAAGATGCCTAATACAGAATATTTAAATGAGTTGGGGAATCATAATTTAGAGAGCAGAAAGAATTTTCATTCTCATGTTAAACCAAAATAAAACGTGTCCCTATGGTTATAAAAAACCTTAATGGTTTCAGATATAGAATGTAAAGACCTTCTGCACCCAAGTTAACAAAGGACCTGGATGTAGAATATCTAATTACACAATAGTATAAAATTTATTTAATTCTCTTCTGTATTATAGCTTAGATGATTCTCCAGGATTCTAATAAACAAGCATTCCACTGTGTTGGGGAGCTAAAAGTATCACTCCACTTGTTAATTATACATTTTCTTTCCATAGGTTTTAATATTTTAAGATTACCTTTTTATTTTATTCATAAACTTTTGTATTTTCCATTTTTATTTGATTTGTAAATTTGTTTATTTTAAAAATAAACCATTTATTTTCAGCTTTGAATTTTATTTTGTGCATGTGTTTTATGTCTTTCTTTTCATATTTGGGCATAATAAATGAGAATAAAAATAATGATACATGTAAAAATTATATATTACACAATTAGGTTTCTCTTTTGAGAGAAATATGAAAAAAGGAAATTTCATCTCAAGAAATTTTTGTTTTACATGTGAGTAAAAGAGTTACTTAAGTAAAATGCATGACACTAATATTCTAGGTGTGTGTGTGTATGTGTGTGTATGCGTGTGTGTGTGTGCCTATGTTTAGATAGCCATAGATATAGGAAAAAAAGAGGCAAGAGAGGAATAGGGAGGAGGGAGAAATAAGTTTTTCCAAAACAAAACACAGTCTGTTATTTTTTGTTCAACTTTGAACTTGGGTAGTTTATAGAAATAACTTACCTTTTATAGACTTTAATGCAATCCCTTGTTTTGGAATGAAATAAGTTAATTGATACTATGAACTTAGTTAATAGAAGATACCTTGCATGAATGAATCAAAAATTCATTTATATAACATTTCAAATCAGATAAATATTTGGAAATGTATTTGCTTTTGAGTTAATAATATTAAATTCATAAAAACAAGGAAGCCTTCTTATTATAAATTGTTTTTCTATTCACTTATTCTAAGGATATTTATTGAGTTCTTATAAATAAACTGATTAGATGAGTAAACATTTTTCTACTGAAAATGTTTTGACTTTCAAAACTATCTCTAAAGACTTAGGATCAATGGATGGGGATTATATGGAAGCAGACTTCTACTCAATTGGGAAATGACTTAACAGCAGAATTGAACAGTAATATATTTCACTATCTTTGGAGAGGCCTTGCCCCCATTACTAGAGGTGTACAAGCAGAAACTTAATGAATCATATAATATTTGGTCTTTCCTCATTAGATTAAGTGATGGTGAGTCTGGAGTTTCTTCCAACCTTGGACATATTAAATGATCTCCTAGGACATAGTGGTGACTAGTTTCAATAACAACAGTGTCCGTATTAGTAGTTTGGTTATTGCAGTTACCTGGTTATTCCTTGTTAATAACACTCAAGTACTTTATTCAGTCATTCACTGTTGTCACTAGGTCTTTGACACAAGTAAAGTCACAACATGATACTACTCAACAATGTCTTATTTCTCTGTTTCTACCCAAGAGATAGCAAGTACTTTTAACAATGGGCTAGGACAGTGGTTGGCAAACTCGTTAGTCAACAGAGCCAAATGTCAACAGTACAACGATTGAAATTTTTTAAACTTCTAATGCCACTTCTTCAAAATAGATTTGCCCAGGCCTTGGTATTTTGTGAAAGTACCACACTCAAGGGGCCAAAGAGCCGCATGTGGCTCGCGAGCCACAGTTTGTTCACCACAGGAAGATTAAGTGTTTCAATAACATTCTTTATCCACCTGTATTTAAAACTGAACAGAAATAATTTTTTAAATTTATGATTCATAAATTCACATACTAAGATGATTCTATAGAGTTACCATCAAAAATTGATTCAGATTCAATTTAACATCAGTCCGTACCTTATTTTAATATTGTTTTTGGTAGAAATTTACATTTTGGTATCTTTAATTTGTTTAACAATCTTCCAAATATGGTCTCACTTTATGTATTTTATAGATGGATAAATTCATAATTAAAGATA